GTGTACGCTAGGACGGCTCGGGGGGTCGAGGGTCAAGGGCAGGGGATGATTGCGCGTCCTTCGTCGCGCGACGTGTCTATATCGATTTAAAAAAATAATAAACAACGAAAACATTCGAGCGGATTGACGGGTAATCCGGATAGAGGTGCTTGTACGATACAGTCGCTGTAACCAGTAACCGGAAGTACGTCACGTATGTAACGAGATTATAAAATATCAATGCAGTTGCAGCAGCAGCAGCTGTTAAGCCCATTCCTAGACGAGGCCGGTCAAGTGCTGAGGTTTTGCAGCGCAACGACGCCCGTGCATACCGAGCGCATCGGCGTCCCCGAGCAATGGGGCTTTGGCTGGCGGCAAGGACGCTCCGGCCAGGGAACCATTTAACCAAGGACGACTTACGTACGCGCGTGAGCTACTAACGCCTGCAGGATACAAACGGGAGCGTACAACTACTTTTCGAGTTCTCGATCGACTTGTTACAAAAAAAAAAAAAAAAAAAAAAAATTCGACAATTATTTCTCCTCCAGCATCCTCTTACACTCGTTCACTCTCGACAGTGCTTCAATACCAAACGTGGCACGAGTCGATCGCGCGAATGACAAGGATGGCCGGGCCGGCAGAGCCCAGCCGTGATAGGAGGCCACCGAGTAGACGACAGCGACGGCATCCAGCCGACGGCCATTTTCGTAACGCTCGTCCTAGTCCGTTCGCGCGTCCTTTGGTCGCGTTCTCTTGGTGCACGTGCACCCAAATCCAGCGACCGGTTAGTCTCTTCGGTGCAACTCGTTACGCGAGCATACTCAACCCCCCCCCAACCGTTGCCCCCCTCGCTGCCTCACGCAGTGCTTACATAAATGCGCACCTCTTGGTACATACGATACGTGTATGTGTGTATATTTATGTATATATATATATATGCGTATATACATGCGTATAACAGCAAGAGGCATGTACGACGTACGAATAGGAAGCGTAGCCAAGCAACCTCATTGACCGTGGTCGGGATTTCTACGACGTCGCGACGACTCCCAGTGCGCGCGAGGAAGCTCCACGAGGCGAAAGCTCTCTTTGCGGCGGCAAGGGAAGAGCCGCCGATAAGAATTTCGTGGCGCGAGAGAGCGAGAGAGAGAGAGAGAGAGAGAGAGAGAGAGAGAGAGCGAGCGATGACGCCAGGCCGAGTTATCGGCGCGTCGCAACCAACTGGTTCGATGGGCCCTTATCATTGAAATACATGAATGCACGCCTTGAGGAAACCGACCGTCGCCGGTTTCTCCGTGACGCCATGCGAGGCGTCGAACTCACATAGAAACTGGAAGGCGTCGTCGTGAACGTAAGTTACGAGAAAAAAGTGTCGAGCGGGAGACGATACCGAATGAAATATATGACGGTTGTTATCACTGTCGGCGGTCAGGTGGCAGAGAGAGAAAGGTCAAAGTTCGCGTCGAGAGGATGGCAAGGACTTCGGCAACCGGTACAGGGAGGGCAGTGACGTTCCTCGTTCGACGATATCATATCGCGGATCGTCTTCGATAATTAAATCGTTAATTACGTAATGGCCGCGTAGAGCACGATCAGCTGATACGGCTACGGAATCAGCTGACGCCAGGCGTCCCTCTGGCGTACACGTGGGTGAGATGCTGGTATTGGTCGGTATACGCGGGACGTACGTGCTGCTGTGAACTTGACGTCGAATGCTACGTCTGTTTGCTGCGTTCACGTGTATATGTATATATATATATATATATATATATATATATATATATATATATATATATATATATATATATATATATATATATATATATATATATATATATATATATATATATATATATATATATATATATATATATATATATATATATATATATATATATATATATATATATATATATATATATATATATATATATATATATATATATATATATATATATATATATATATAGAATCGAATAGTAATAGAGAGAAATCGCTATGGTGACGCGCGACCCACGGCAGATCCAAGCGACAGAGTGGCGATCGAGATCGTCAGAATTTAAATAAATTTCTGTTCTGGGTGATGCGACCGCGAATGGGCCGATAATAACGGAGTTGCGCAACGAGTCGCCAGCGTAAGATCGAATCAGTCGTTAAGGTTCGCACGTAAAAGCGGTCAGGAACGTGAAGAAAATGATTTGCGCATCGGGACGTTACAGCGCGGTTTTGTTTCGTCCTATATATGTAATATGTCCTATATGGCGCAATTGATCGACGTCACAATGGCACACGCACACCAGAATACATATTCGATCAATCGATCGATCAATAATAACTGTGCATGCGCTACGTACAAAATATGACAATTTACGTAGCACGGGGACTGAGACGGCGTTGGCCGTAGCGAGAGTCTTGGTTAAATTGCGCTGCTGTTGGCGGATCTACAGTTAGCAAGATCACCCGAGACGTAATACAGCTATATCCGTTTTTAATGGATCGCAGTGCCGAAATACGGCCGATCGATTAACGGGCAACGACGTACGTACGTATACCGCGGTTATGGCGTGCGCAACTTTACATTATTTACACCATGTACCGCTCCGATAGAATCGACTACCGCGAGGTCGTGAAAAATTCACGTGCACACACGCAAATGGTAACTTGCCGGCCGAGCGCGCGTAATCAAAGGACGAAAGACCCCAAAGGTCGCTGTTAATAGTTACGAGAGTTGGGAGAGCGGAAGAAAAAAAGGAAAGAAAAAAAAAGGTCTCGGAACAGAAAAGAGAACGAGATACGTTAAAAGGGCGAACACAGGGCCTGTAGGAATAAAGTCGAGAGAAGTTGGGCAGAGCGAGTGGGGGGTTCCCAGCTGATAACGTGGTTCGAATAATCGTGCGACCAAAAGTAACGTCGAGCTGCTTCCAAAAGAAGCCGAAGTCCGTCCGCGAGAGTCAGGAGAGCAAGTGAGAGAGAGAGAGAGAGAGCGCGAGCGAGAATACAGTAATAAGAGAGACAAGTGTTCGAGACAAGATAGAAAAAAAAAAGGGTTGCGACGTTTCCTACGACCGGGAAGCGATAAATCAATTGGATCCCGTGATGGATTTTCTTTCTACGCGACGATACGCGTCGTGCCGATGACGAAAATATGTAAACAAGGAGTGAACCGGCCGGCGTGCTTCGAGTTATTTATAGAAGCCGATTATTGTGCAACAAACGTGGCTTTACGTAACGCGTACACACACGCTAGCCGGCCTGTCGGGCACACGGCCGTTTACGGACGAGCGTTAGCCTGTCTCTCTTTGCTGGAGGATTTTTTTGCCGGCGACCAATTCATTGGGACGCCACGCAGAAGAAAATAGAACGGAGACAGAAGAACAACAAGAAGAGACGAAAAAACGAATAAGGATAAACTCGTGCCTCTGGTGTATGAAGCTATTTTAAACGAAAAATTCACTGGGTACATTTTGTTATCGCTAATTTATTTAGTTGCGTGCATTATTATTCTCCTTAACCTCTCATGGGTACAGTTTGCCTCGCCATCTTTCAAAACAACCCGGAAGTGGTCGGTATCTCTAAACAATTGCACACGGGGAACACGTATCGACGTACTACGAGAGATTGGTGCACATACGCAACGCGTGGATACACGGTACAGTTTCCGTTATTTACTCCTGGACCCGCCTCCGCGATTCATGATAACGTTACCCTCGACTATTAATCACGCAACATAGACAATGTTGCTTTTGAAAACGTTTATCGGGCTTGTATTTCGGCCGGGGTACTTGTAAGCTTTGCCCCTACGATATTGGGTGACTTTACTTATCTAATTTGATCCTCGTAGAGTTCGTTTGCGTGCGGCGGGCAACATCAAGATGAGGTAACGAGTATTAGAAACAACTACAGTGTGATCGAAACTAGGGATAGGTTTTTCGTGTTAGGAGAGAAAGTCTAAGTAAAAAAGAAAAAAAAAAAAGAAAAAAGGGAGATAGAATTAAAGTAACCATAATGCTACTCATCGCCCCCCCCCCCCCCCCCCGG